AACAACAAGTAAGCGCAACAAAGGATTAGTTGTAATTCGGATCCATGGAGCGTTTTTTCTGGTATAAGGCCACTGCATCCGATGGTTGTCAAAGTGACAAAACAAAAGTAGGCACCATCGATTAGAGACCAGTTTTCCCATAGCGCAAATACCATTGTTCCCAAGCATACGTAGAAGATTAATATTAATATCACAATAATAAGGGGAACTTGATAATGTTGAATTCTACTCTTTCGCGAAAAATGTAACGACTTCAATGGACTGTTGTAAAAATCGAAATATGAAGCTCCTCGTAAATTAGTCTGTAAGAATTCAAATTCATGCAACTCTTTGCCATCGTCTTCGTCGCCGGAGTTGTAACTGTTGTCGCAATTAAATCTGCTTCGAGCATCATCTGCATAGCAAAAGCTTGGTGATAAACTAGTCCTACGTGCCGCGTGACCATTACATTTAACTCCACTATTAACCATTATTGATTTTTGAGTCCGTTGATGTTGACCTTCTCGCTGGAATTGCTGCTGGTCTTGTATCATGAATTTTTCATTGGAATTAGGGAGCACATTCGTTGAAGAGCGATGGAAATGGAGAGTTTTTGTAGCGTTATTAAAACCATATATTGATGGGGAAGACGTACAGACGAACGGGCGAAATACTTTACTGTCGTTGCTTGTAGAAGCAGATGATATCAAAGGCATTCGTGACGGCGTACCATGAGCGCAGCTATTGACAAAAAGATAAATAAAAAGAGTATCACATAAAGTTAAAATGAAGTTATATGCGCTGCGTTTTGTTACTTGTGGAGCAATGCAAATTCTTCCAGTAATTGATAATTATAATTTCCATTTTTCGTAGTATTCGGACTTCTTTTATACTATTTTCAGTTAATCAAACTGGCAATAAAATATACCCTTGTATACCCATCATCGTTAGACTAAAAAAGACAGGAGAAGTATAAGAACAAAATTTTCGTGCTCTATTATATGGAGATGGCGCGGCTGATTTTTTCTGTTTTGAAAATAAAAGTTTTTCTCCCTTTGCTATCGTGCTCTTTGAAAAGTTTAAATCACTTCGAAGTTCTCTTCATATAGGAGTTTGCGTTTCGTGATAGCGCCTTTATATATTGGAGTCGAAAAATAACAGACCTATGTGATTCGAATTCAATACCGTTAATATTTTTGCTGAAACGCTACTATAAATTAATTTTCATCATAAAATATTAAAAATTAACCCTTTTCCCGAAGGAGTTATTTCTCAAGGAACATTTTATATGGAGTGGGGCCAAGAAATAGACCTATGTGGTTCCAACTAGGTACACTTAATTTTTTTATTTAAACATAAACAACTTTTCATCCCAAAAAAATGAACTGTTATGCCTTTTTGATATATAAGGGTTTAGGTTTCATAAGAATCCTTATATTCGGCGGTACTCAAAAAGTGCATCTACGTGGTCCAAATTCGGTTGATTTCCTTCCACGAAATACTAGAAATTCCAAATTTTTACCATATAAAGATTAAGCTTTTGTAAGAACGATTACATGGTAAGGAGAGCAAAAAATTGCCACAACCGATTCAAAGTTTTTGCACCAATTTCTAATGCTGATAAACGATTACTTAGCCACTTTTATCGAATAATTTTGAAAATTGCAAATTTTTCCTATAAAACAAAAACTTCGAAAAAGTGAACCCATCCGAAACATTTTCAATAGCGTTCGTCCTCAGAACACGTCACTGCAGTAAATTTCATCAAAAGATTTCAAAAATTTCGATATATCTTTGACACGAATTTAAATGAACAGACATCAGAAGGACATGCGGACAAACTGGCTTATATCTTTATAATAAAGGTCTCTCTTAAGCCCTTGCGCGTGTTATATATGTCTGCACTAACTTAATATACGCTTTACCATAAATAGTCTGGGGTATAAATATATGCATTGTATGAGTGCAATAACTACAATCTAATTTACAAGATGAACAATTTTTTGGAAGTGAATCTACAAATTGCCAGGGAGGTGGCAAAAATGTGTAATTTATGATGGACAATCCTTTAATATATTTTATACTGCAGTAACGACATATTTTTACACCTAGCAATGCCCAATACACTCTTTACACTCCGAAAGGTGTCAGAATTTCCTTACTTTGGGTATAAAATTTGTCCTATAAACCCTCAAAGCTCTATGCATACTGTAAGGAAGCGTTTAGCTTCCTTTGCGTCCGCCTAAATGTTTGCAGACCTCAACCACGCAGATCGACTTGTCCGTTTACATGTCTTTGTATTGAACATGATCAGCCTCTTCCCGCTCAAACACATGTAACATATGCAACCATACAAAAATGTATTGAAAGTATAAACATACAAGCTATATATAAAAATCTACTCAAAGTATTGCCATACAACTATATGAGTTATATGAAGATGTACTCAAAAGAATAATATGTATTCAAAATATTCAAAAGCGTAAAATGTACTCCAGGAATTCGCAGGTACCATATAAGCTATATATAAAAACGCGTTGGCATATAAAAAGAAGAAAAACCACGCACATTGTGAACACATACCTAACGGTCACCAAATCGTACGATTTGGTACGTGGGTTAACATTGCACAAACGCATGTTGAAAAGAGCAAAAAAATAAGTAGAGGCTTAGGCATACGAACAAGCATAGCAATAAGAAAAAAAAATGTAAAATGGCTGTAAATATCATGCATAAGCACATGAAGGCATAATCAGCATCATAGAAGCACAGTAATAGGATAGACATAAGTTGGCACGTAAAATAGTATTAGTGCTAAGATATGTATAAGTAATATCATACAGATCGAAACTGAGGTTGCGGCAGAAAGTCTGACAAACACGTTGAAGCTAGCCTAAACTAAGCATACGTATAAGCATATTATCTCACTACATATGTAAGCGCGTATAGAACATGCATGTAACAGAACAGCGAGCGTGATTGCGACTATAAAAGAGCGTGTCTCATCACGTTCAGGCTTCAATTGTGTCATAGCCGCCTGAGGTAAGTGTTCACGGACTACTTGACAAGCCGACTTTTATTAATAGGTTTTTTTTTACTTTTACGGGTAGGGGATGAGCTGGTTTAGTTTTAATCGCCATCCCTGAAGGACTTATAGAACTGCTGACTATTAGGTATAGGGGATGAGTTAGTTTAGCTTTAATCACCATCCCTGAAGGACTCTTAGGGACTGCTGAATTTTACGGGATGAGCTGGTTTAGCTTTAATCGCCGTCCCTGAAGGACTTATCGAACTGCTAACTTTTATGGATAGGGGATGAGTTGGTTTAGCTTTAATCGCCGTCCCTGAAGGGCCGAGGAATGTATTTTTCTTTGTTGACATAAGCCAAATAGGGACAAACCGGTCGCCCAGAAGGGCAAGGTGGGCTGTTATTACATCTGCGACGTATCCGTTTCTTTTTAGCAACTCGCGATATCGGAAGAAAGAAATCTAATAACACGTGTTCGAACAATCGATAATAAAGAAATTCCAACAGAAAGTCGGGTCACCACGCTGGTTTCCTCCCACCTCTCTTCAAATCGCTTATAATCTCCTTATCTATAAATAAAAGTAGCGTAGGAACACACCCGAAGATCGAATCATTTTTTTGCATTATAAATTGTCTTGGAAAGAGTCCTGGAGTGGCTGAGCTTACCCTGCCCAAGAAGACTCGTTACAATATATTTAACACTTAAATAGGCAGACATGATAGTAAATACCAACGTAATCAATTCGAGAGGTTCAGAGAGCTATTGTTCTTTGATAAATTGCGGTGGAACATCGTTGCAACAATTCTAGTGGGCACTTGTTTTGTATTACACGTATAATGTACTTCAGGTAAAACTTAAGAATTATGGGTTCCGAACATACGATTTATTAAAATTCTTTAGCGTGTCTTGTACTGCATGGTATTTTTCCATTTCCCAGTTTTCTAATATCTGACATTGACTGATTTTTTGTTGAGACCGAAAGAAATCAGGAATTGTACAAAGTTAAAAAAACTTTACCGAAAAAGTTATCCAATTTGCCTTATGGACGATACATCTGAGATGATAACGTTTACTGTAATCCAATCGAAAATTACAATTGGAATGAGATTACCAACTTCCGGTAAGATAATCCTGTAAGGAGAACTCCAGTTCAAGACGCCAAAAGAGAATATAATGGGTTTTGAACGAAAACAGCGAGCCATCATCAACAATAACTGCTTTAGTACAGAAATTTCTTTGCCAATCTGAAGCACTAACTCTGGAGTAAGGGATATGCTCCCACACACAATTACTTTTAATATTCTATTTGAAACTACCATTATTTCCGTTTTGGTCATTAGCAATAAAAATAATAACCCGAGCTGAAAGCTAAAGGACTGAAAATTATGGGTCAACTGTCTAATAATAATGTCTATAAATTTTCGGCGGGGGCCGAACCTCGTATACCCACCACTATGCTTGCCGCATTCTGCTCCCCAAGTTCTTTTATTCGATACCCATATCAGTTGTATTACTAAGAAAAAAATAACCGCGATGTCCATCATATTCATCTTAGAATTAACTCAATTTTAGGCAGAAGTTGAGAAATGTACAAAATAGTTTCAAACATTCTGTCTTGTTTGTGTTACGCTAACTAAGCATAAAACCCCAAAAAAATAAAAAATAATTAATTTAATCAATTGCAACTTTGTGTGGGCACCAACCTGTGCGCAGATACCTTCAATGTTTCTACCAAATTTGTAGCCGATATTTTTGCGACAAAGAGCGTGCCAACAATAAATATCACATAGACGGATAGCCATGGCTAAATCAATTCACAATTTCACGCTGATCAACAACATATATACTTTATACGGTATCTGAAGCAGAAAATGAGGATATCTCCATATTACAGTGGTGGGTATAAAAAAAGGAAGGGATAACGTTCAACAGAATATTATAAGATCAAAGCTACATTAGTAATACAATAGAAATGATTAGTTTCATATCAACGCCATCAGCTGACTACTCCTGAACATAAATGTAAGCAAGATGATACTATGGACCCTGTACTTAGTAAAATAGATGAAGCACTAAAGAAATTTACTTTTCCCTAAATAAAATGAAATTGTACAATAATATAAACAATGATTTCTAGATTTGAATTAAATTCAATAGCGTACAGAAAACCGGAAATGTACATTGTATTGTATTGACATTGTAATTATCTCTGTTCAGTACATCATGTTACTAATATATGTGCGAACAGCATTCAATGCTGATTTAAAATGAAAGAAAATTAAATAACAGGTTATTCTTGGCGGATCGATTTACTTGACGTTTAACATGTATGATGGATGAAAGGATGTAAATAAACCGTTTTTGCTGTTCACGCCGGTTAATGATATATATACTTCCGATCTACATACATTGCAAAAAAATTGAACATTTTTATTCTATCTGCAAAAAAATTTTTTTGGGTTGTTTTTTTTTGTCGTACTTACCTTGAATAATGCTGCGTTTCGGCCCCAAAGTCATTTGAAATCAATAAATTATTCACCCTTTTGCTATCATCTAAGCGATCAACATAAGCCAAAGGCATTATATTCGATATTGAGCTTGAAATATAATCTGGTTCTTCTTTATGACTTATACCGTCGGCATTATCAATGCTTTGAGTGCTAGTGTTTCGTAAGAATGCAAATGAAGAGAAAATATTTTTCCTGTTAGAGATGTTTCGCATCTTCGTTGTTGGTGAAGTCGGTGTCCACATTGTCATTGAAACAGATTGAAGTTTGTCCACCTCACTGCTATCGCTCCTATCAGATTCAAGAGTATTCATTAATGTTCTATCACCGCTCATTGTGAAACTTTGAGTATTTTGTGTGCCACCTATTATTGTATTTGTTGAAGAAGGTGACAGACAGACATTTTTTTGTTGTACCAAATCTTCGCGGCAGATTACGTCGTTTTCTTGCAATAAAATATTAATTTCGTTCAGTAAAGGTTTTGCCAAAAATTTTGCACGGCGCACATCTGGAACACGAAAGACATATTAAACGCTATTTCGCTCAGAAGTATTTAGATGGTATGAATACAAAGGAGGCTATGTTTAACTCAAAAGAACCCCTTGGTTTATTAAGCATATCGTACGTAAGATCTCAAATGAGTTTCTATGACATTACAGCATTAAATTTTTAATGATCACAATTTTTTGCTTTAAAATTGGAAGTTTTCAAAATCTAGAATTTAAAAAAGCAGACAGTGTTTCAGTACGTCAATTTGACCCTTTTGCCAGATGACGAACGAGAACCAAAAGAAATTTCAACGTTGAGAGACTACGTTGTAGACAGTTATGGATACGCAATTGTATATAAAGCAAAGAAAATTTCGGGCAATTAACTTTTGGTCAGAAACCGTTTCTATCATATACCGGCTCCTTCAGGATTCAGGCGATAATGTGATTTTATTTTTATTCTTCAGATATAGTCCGAAAATAATAATTATTTCCACACATAATACAATAGTTGGAGATCCGTTAATAAAATGGGATCGTATCTCCTTCCTTGATGCCCATTTATTGTCATTTTTTTCCTGAGGAGCAAATTGATGAAATGTTTGATGTTGATAATATTAGCATCAGCCCTTACCTGGGTGTCCTTCCATGGGGTTATGCGTTTTACTGTCAACATAGCGTGACAGATATGAGCTGCTCCTTTTTTTTTTCTATATATAGCCTAATCTGTACCGAAACTGTAGTGCTGGCGGGTAATATATATATAAAAATAAAGTGGTGGCAAGAAGTCAAAATGATAAATTGATTGGTGCGGTTAGTTTAGTAAATCGCGGTTTAATGGACTATATCATTTTGCTCCCGACTTTTTTTTATTTTTAGTAGTTTCGCTCCTTCGAAATTTTTCCTTTGTGACTTTTTCATGCTGAAAAGTGTATCGACTTGGTTTTCTTGTTCACAGTTATCGCATGCTGTTTGTGCATCTTCAACTGTCAGTGGACACAATCTGTGTCGCTTTGTGATTTTTTCTCTTCATTTGACTGCAGCTGCTCTCACTACTCCATCGCTTCCGGGATGAATCTCTATAACTCTAGCTAATTTAGTTAGAAGGTATTCATCCATTTGGGCGTTGTTTCAGCCGACACAAATGCTCTGTGTTCCAATGCCGACAAAATGTATTTTCTATCTGTTCCTCAAGTGGACTTTGTTCTTGTTGACTGGAGCCTCTTGCGGTTAGACAAATGGCTTTGCCGTTGTCGCCCCTCGCCCTGAGGACCACTATAAAGTGATGAGGCCAGCGAAATCTACACCGCTTTTCTTGAACGCCCTTCCGGGTGTAACTCGAGATCGGGTTTGTTTTGGCATTATTTCTGAAACATTTCGTGCATTTGTGAATATAGGATTTTATTAACTTTGGTAGCTGCAATATTCAGTACTGCCCTCTGATACTTGTTGGTGTGACTTGATTGCCGCCGTCTGCTGTTCGCACACAATGGTGCTCACATATTTTACAGTTTGAACTTAAAATTATAGCATGTTTTTGACTATCAGATAATGCTATGTGTTTGTAGCCGATTTTTCTTCACCTACGAATAATGCGATGGACAGTAATTTTGACGACAATGCGATAGAGTGTCCCTTTTACAAAATTTTCCAACTCGTCTTTGAAATGCATCTTTTGCACGCGAGTTCAGCACGCTTTCATTCTTGGACAATTAAGTGTGGGTGAACGTATACGCTGATCGTTTTTGTTTCGTTCTAAAACAATACGCTGCGTCTCTAACCAGTTTGTTAAAACTTGAATACCTTTGAAGTAAATTAAAATCGGTGTCTTCCGCAGCATTATCGCAACTTCAAATCTTCTTTTCAAATTTTCCGTTTCTAAATGAGTATATAACTTGAGGTTCTGCCACTCTGGACCTTCCAGCTCTAACTTGTTTTGTGTGTCTCGTAACCATGTCTGCTTGGCTTTGGCTTGTCTTAACATATCTCCATTGACTGTATGTGGTAACTGGACGAATCTAGACTAGATGATCGCCAAACCAAGATAAAGCAATTGTTGATTCTATCCGACAATATGTTGGCGTGTGATTGGAAAACTCGTATGATTGCTTGACCAGTATTACGAGCCTGTTTGATAAAACAGCACCACATAGCTCTATTCTTGGAATGTGTTCGACTTTAGATGACGCTACATTCGATTTCCATGTCATCAAGGACACAGCCATCTTATTGCTGCTATCTATGACACCTATGTGGACTGCTGCTGCGTAACCTGCCAGTGAACCATCACAGAAACAATTAAGTTCAAATGATAATTTTGAGGCGGTTCCTAGTGCCGGCCATTAGGGTAAAAAGGGTAAATCAGGCCCAATTAATCTTTAGTAGCCATAATTCTTTTTATGACGATTTTTCCCGTTGTTGTAATTGGTTGGATGCATCCTAACAGATCGAACACATTTGCGACATTTGAAATAATGATTCGTTTGGTGCTGCTGTTTGAATCAGAGTCTGCTATTTTGACTTGAACGTGAAATACATCTAGTCGCGGAAGCCACTGGGTCCATAATATTTTTATAACATTACCTACATTGATGTCTACTGCTGCAGGTGTAGCTTTATCTTCTGGTGCAATATGCTGTAGAATTTTGTCTAAATTTGACGCCGTTTTCGGATGTTTAGCTTGGTTCTTTCTAAGATTTTGTTTATATCCTTGTATAATGTTGTTGCGATCTACCTATCTGACGCTGCGGTTCACTAACAAACTGTGATGTAAATTGCGGATCCTCTGCAAGCTGAATTAGAAGAAAATACCGTTCATCTAACCATCGTTATAAATCATAAGTCGTTGACGGATGTCCCGAAGATATCTTATGTAAGGCGTCGAACTCTGACTTTTGAAGTGAAGCTATCTTGTTTAATCACTGGATGACAAGGCAGATAGTAGGATTGTGTCGAATCTACTTCATAATTAGCAGTAGCAGACACATATAAAATGTGCCCAACCTCAAGGTATTCTTGCAAAATTGAATAGCATTGACTTTTCAGCTCCGGTTTTTGCTCTGGTTGTATTTCCACATGATGGAGCTTCGTTATTGTTTTCTTCCAGGATAGTTCCAATGGGATGCATTTTGAATTGTAGTCTAACTGTGTATCTTTCAGATTCTTCGTTGATCTTCTTGTGGTTTGTTTGAGCGGTCCTTCATACTCCTTTTCTTTTTTCGTTAAGACCTCTTCTTGTTCGGAAAACTTCTTTCACAATTCATTCTATACGGATTACCCTGTTCAAGCAGCGATCCGTATATATATCCCCAACTAGTAATATCTCATTCTTGCCAGGAATTTAATATTCTCGGTCAGCTAAGTCCTTCTTTTCATTTGCCTTTTCCATCTTACCAACCTGCAAGGTATTTGACTTCCAATATGAGGTAGAACAAACAGCTTTATGTTTAGTGTTTTCTGATACCACTTTTCTCTGACGTGTGCCGAGATTTCACTCTTGCTCACGTTTCTGTTCTCTAGCATTTCTTTGATCGCTCTCTTCGTATTTTCAGCAGTTGAGCTGCCCTTTCAATAATAAAACACCATTGTGATACTTAGTTCAGCAAACCTCTTAATGGAATAAAATACTCCACTCTTCACCCATAATTCAATTGTAGCTAACAGAACTGTGGTTTGCTTTGCTGAACCGTCAGTTTTGTGTAAGGTAACTTGTGGTTATTTTCTGCGACTCTTTTGATGTCGGCTTCATTTGTAGTAACATATGATATACGTTTACACAATTGATGAACATCTGCTAGCCACGTGCTAGGGACTCAAATAGTTAGTGTACAAGCGTTACGAATTATGGCACTGATACGTACGATATGGTTTCTTGCAGACTGCAAATTGATTGCCTTTCTCAATTTCGGTTGCTTCTACTGCGTATACACCCAGCTTGAACGGCTTCCTGATTGCCGTTGATTATGTTTTAAAGATGGTGAAGCGGGCTCATGTAGAAACTCCCACTGTCGAGTATGCTGGAGTGTGAATATTACTAAATCTGGCTGATTTACATCAAGGCTGTTAATAATCGCTATAACCCCGGTAAATGCTTTATATCTGCCGAATTGTTGGAGCTGCATATTGTCATATTAATGACTTTATTTCTGTGTGTGATGTATTGCAACATTTATGGTGATTGAAGCCTTAGATCCTGCTGGCATGGTATCTGGTATTCTCAGATTATAACTACTTCAACGCGGCCAATGCAGACGTAGCTATGAACTTTTCAACCCGTTTGGCATCCTCTACAAAAATCTGTGTGATATCTAAAATTTAATCTTAATATCGGACTATCAAATTAGCTCTCCTTAACACGCACGTCTTGCTGATGCCGTATCTAAATCGTCTTTTAATCTTTCAAGCTTCATAGGATTCGCTATTTAAATTTGATATGTTCATAGATATCATTTGCTAAGCCAAGGGTTAATCCTTCGCTCCTAGCCTAAATCTATAGCTGCAGCATGTGTGCGTTAAATGTACGAAAGTTTTTTTTTTTTCTCTTGTTTGTTTACAAATAAAATTTTTTTTTTCTATTTAGTATATCCTAAGTCCTTATGTTTAGTATAAGATTTGCTATTGGAAGATCTTATATCATTTCACCATAATTTTATTATAACTCAACTTCATGTGTAAATAAACAAGTACGCAAGTAAAATTTTTATTTAATCTTCAATACCCGCTATCTTTGTCCTATTTTATAAATTTTTATTGGTGTAGTTGATAAGTAATAAACAAAAAGTTAATTTTTTATACTATATATACTTTTACAAGGAAGGGAACGTGTTAGTTTCAGCACCCAAAAAGAAGCTTTAAGACCCTATGAAGAGTATGTATTGTTGACCAGTATATTAAATTCTGAGTTCATTTAAGTACCCGTGTTTTTCCGCGTAGTAAGCTTCGTAAACGTTGTCTTAATCGCAAATATTAGTTTGGGGAAAAAGAAATCCATTATTTTTATATGAACTTCAACACTTTATTTAACATGCTTCGGATTGTCCGATTTGGGTCAAATATGCACCTTTTTGCTGTATAATTTGTTGCCATTTTAAAGGTAACTTCAAAATGCCTCTCTCATACAAGTCCTGGTCTCTATTTGCAAAAACCTCTAATAGTCGATTTTCACACCTCTAATAGTCGATTTTCACAATCCTAGATTCCAATTTTTTATCATTAAAGAAATTTTGCAATGCAAGAAAAAGATGATAATCGCTTGGTGCCAAGTCCGGACTGTATGGCGGAGTTCCCGAAGTTTCTGGCGAGTCACTGTAGATGTGTGTGGCCTAGCCTTGTCCTGGTGGAACACGACACCTCTCCTGTTGGCCAATTCTGGCCGTTTCTGGTCAATCGCTATCTTCAAACGGTCCA